GTGCTAAGCACAAGATTAGAAAAGAAACAAGTGTCATGTGTGCAGGCTGTGGTGTGGCTCTCTGCAGACTTTCATGTTTCAATGTTTATCACACGAAGAAAAACTAATAAAGAGGTATGGAAAGGCATTTATTGCATAAAATATTGTCTTTTAATTAGTTCCTGAAAATTTCGTTTTTAAAAACCAATTTTTGTTGAAGTTGTTTAGGAAAAAGTAACTACATGCATTTTACCGACATAAGGTTTAAAGGGCCTGCCAGGACAGGGGTGGGATTTAAATACCCTTCGCGCCAGTCAAAGAGTTAACAACTTACTGTGAGGTTAGGATGCCAAGAATTTAACTACGATGATCAACAATGCACAGCTTCAACTTTTTCCTATCTAGACAGTTAGTTTACGTATATTTAAAAGTTAACGACTATTTTAAAAGTTAACGACTATTGAAACAAAGTCTGATAGCACTTTATCTGCCAATTCTGAATAACTTCTTCAAAATTCTCTACTTCTAACAGGATATTGGACCACTTTTGCTGTTTTTACAGTATGGACAACTAAAACTGTGTATGGTATAATGGAAAGCAATTGTTAATTTCGTAATAAACCGACTTTAGCACGTTGGTAGTCTTTCATTGTAGCCAACATGTAGTTGAGATCCCTAAACGGGTGTGGGATGTCATATGAAGAGACAACCACTTGTTAAACTGTTCTATAATAGTTATTACAGTTGCACAGTATAAACAGACGAACTTGACTGAAGTTATTTGAGCTTGGAGAATTGAAGAAGAATAATAACAACAATAGTGAACTCTGTAATACCTTGAACGTTGCATTGAAACGCAACACTGAACTAGAATTGTGGAACTGTAGAAATCTAGAACTGTAAACTTCCAAGCCCAAGTCAGAGTCAGAGTTACTTTACGACTGACGGTTTACCGCCAATCACATTGCGACTGACTTATATAACCTAGAGTCGGACATATAGAAAATATATCACTGTCCGTATTGTTGTAGACTTTGCCTAGCAACAGCTGTTTACTCGCTTTGCCTAGCAACAGCTGTTTACTGTCCGTTGCTAGGCAACTTGCGTTGTCACATTTGCTTGAATGTGGGCAGTTCCCATACGGGTAAGAACTTCCTTCATTTCCAGTGGCGGCTCGTAGCTAAAATTAGTGGGGGTGCTGCTCCAGAAAATTTGTAGCCTTTGTTTTAAAATTGTATAAAAGGAAACAAACATGTATAAAAAGAAAATTTATTCAGAAACTTGATAAAATCCTAAAAGAACAAAATCAAACATTTTTTACTTACTTTAACCTAAATTGTTACAGTTCAAGCTTAATCTATTCATTTAAAAATGAAATTCATTCTTTTTAACCTTTATATTATGCTCATCGATTGAAAGTCTGTATGCCTCACTAAGCTTCTCCATAATACTTACGGTTCCTAAAAGTGACAGTGAAATTACATTATCAACGTGCTTCTTTGACTTCTCATGCTTTTCAGTTTTTTCTTTCCCTTTGTTTATATTTGTAAAACATCTTTTGTCCACGTTACATCACCCCCAAACAGCAAACACGGGAAGCAAAACAGTGCATTTTTCACTTCACAGCCGCAAAGCCAACTTTCCGTTTGTACCATTCAGAATTAAAGCTACGAATATATTTCTTGTCCTTGCTTATGCCTGGCTGAGATATTAGAATATCAGGTGTTAAACGACCTCTTTCCTTAACTGCAACTTTCTCACGGAGAGACAGTTGTGAAAACTTAAGCTGTTGAAGTTCACTTAGAGTCACAGAACGTATTTCTCGGGGATGCAAGGCCATGGTTAAAGTTTTCTGTTAAATAAAAGAACCGAAAAAAATGAATCGAATAGAATAACTGGAAGCAGGATAATAATCTAATTCTACAATTAACTCATATTTTTTAAGCGCAACACACGCGGAGTAAAAAAAAAACTACCTTCCACCAGCACGCCATGGTCAGCACCGGTCGGCACTGTCGTTCTTGCAGTGCTCCCTCTCTCTTTCAGCCTCGCGTGTAGCTTCCTATGTGCGCATGCGCACAGTGAACGAACACCTCGCCGCTGGAACTGTGAAACTCGCAGTTCCATACAAAGATTGGCTACTGACATTAGGCTTAAGGATTATATATTGTATTGTACAAGTATAAAGAAAGAATTAAAGAAAAAAAGACTCATTATATAAATGTTATCGATAATATAAAGTGGAAATTGGGGGTGCTGCAGTTCCGCGGTGCCTATACACGGGTCGCCCCTGTTCATTGCCGTTAACGTTTATCACAGGGTAGCCCTACACTGAAATAATTCTGTTCATAAACAGGGATTCATGCTGGTTTCTTTCTCTTCTAAATATGTGCCTCAATCGCATTTATTTATTTATTTATTTATTACTAACTTCGAGATAACGCAGCGGTGGAACAATATACGATAGACTTATGATTCTGTTGCTGTACCGATGAAGTAGATAAGCTCCATCCACTCTACGAACTAGGGTACGTCATACCTAGCGTAAGCAACCTTTCGGAAAAAGTCCTCTGTAAGTGTATGGATACTGAAATCATGTTTAAAGTAGATTATAATAAATTTATAATAATGACGTACCTGTCTACGTCAGTGTTTCTCAAACACCGAGCCGCGAGCCGCTACCGGCCTGGAATCAATTATACCGGGCTCTCGTCTTATAAAAAAATATTTTACTGGGCCGCGATCTCACAAAGGTTGGGAACCACTGGTTTATGTCACTAACAATGTCGAGTCTTCGTTCGCATAGCAAACGGAATATGTAAAACTGTAATTTACACAAAGGAAAGCGTGTTTCCTTCCTTCAGCATAATTTCTGATCAATAGAAATTGTAAGCTTACTGTTTCCTTGGTTGTACGGTAGATTGTTGTCAGTATTTTGGAGGAACCTATTGCCTCCATCTTCAGAATAATATACTTAGTCATCGCCGTATGGACCCCAGATCTCACCAGAAATTGTTTCAGTAACGTGATTGGTTTCACATGCAGCTATTGACACATGACTAGTACAACACGGAAGCGATATGTTCGTTCTTTCATGCGACTATAGTATTGTTCAAACTGATACCAACATTATAAGCTCAATAATTACTACTTTCTTCAGGGTCAGGGCCGGCGAAATATGACTCATAATGATGTAAGCAAGTGACAGGCTCTTCCGCCTACCAATCCGTGACTTCCTCTCTGTGCACTGCCAACATGTCGTTTACCAACCGCGCCCTACCTATTGTTTGACATATTTTTACACTTCTTCACGCTTTTAGACAACTAACACGTACATTTCTTATGCGCTGTACATACCATAAATTTGTAAATATGTTAACTCTGCCCTATATTGTGTGACACTGAAAAGATGCCTCGATTTTTGTTCGTAACATGTATTTCTAGTAACATTACATTTTGTCGTGTTGGCACACTGTTATTTGGGTCTGTCAAAGATGGCGCCGGTCGGAGAAATTGTGGAGGTGAACGGGTTTTCTTCGAAAAGGAAGGATGAAGCAGACAATAAAGAAAATTTATGGTGCGTGTTTGCAATATGCTGAACAAAATTCAAACTTTAAGCAGAATCTTCTGATGTTTCTTACATTATGGCTGAAAGAATGTCTCCAGTAGTGCAAATTTTTCTCACGGTTAACTTTTGATGTATACCAAATTACAGCATTTAGTATTACATGTTTTATTTCTGATTTTTATAACACACGGCATTTACGCAACAAATTAAATTACGAAAAGATCTTATGTATATAAGTTTCTTTTGATACAGTTGTTTTGTTACGTTGTGCCGTACATATTGATTTCTTATGTTTCCACCCCTCTTTTCAAAGTAAACTTTGTTAGTGTAATACCAGACTGCTGATGATGCACATCATTTTATTTGTGTATATATGATATCCCGAATATACAGTCGTTTATCAGAGACAGTCTGAAATATATATTGTGAACTATCAGACATGTCTTCTTACAGGTCAGCCATACTAGGAGAAGTTCAAACACGAGGAAATACGAAGTTGCCATCATATAAATCTGTGGTGGTGTTAGGTAAGTATCTTTTAACAGAACACTGAGAGTACATCAAACTTATCTCTAGCTCTAACAGTTCATAATCTACTGTAATGAATGTACCCATCATGATACAAAATTGATGGTAATTGTTAGTTTTGGTGGTTAACCTGAGTTTATGGTTGTCATATGCTGACTGGGAAAGTACAAGATGGGGGAAAAACAGTATACACATGAATTGTAGAACAGGCATTAAGTATGTTGTTGAAGTACTTAATGTAAATGAGTTCCCTTACAAACGTGTCTGCAGTCTGCAACTTTGAGTATTAAAAATGATGGTCATTCACATTGATACAACTTTTGAGTCTGGCTAGGAAGAAGGATTTTCATGCATTTATGAACATTTGCACAGTTCATGATGTATTATTTAGATTCTTGTTACATGCTGTTCCTTGAGTCTTGTATATGACCTCAGATTTTTGTTTTTGTGTGTGTTTTTTTCATCGTGAATGGATATTGTTCCAGAATATGAAAAATCAACACATTTTATTTTATGGTGAGTCTGCCATGAAAATATTTGTATTGGAGGCATTTACTCATTTTTAATATTATGAGTGTAAAGTGTGATGTCTGTTTCTTATGTTGAAAAGTAAATATGGAATGCAGAGTTGGTGATTTCATTCATGCTTATGTTGCTATGAGAGTACATGCAGCATTGGCTTTTGGGAATAAGCTGTGTCAAATGTTGAAGGTATTTTTCCAATGTTGTGACAGATGTTGAAGTTGCCATCTTCAGGATGTTACTATTGTAGACAGTTTAAGCCAGTATATAGATCAGCCATTAAGCTTTGATTAGGAGGTGAGGTTGTGATTGGATTAAACGGGGGAGTGGGGTACTATCCAATAGGGAGCAACCACGTTCTTGATGAAAGGAGACAGTAAATGTTCTTTGGAGACTAGGTGATCATGAAAAGAGATCGTGAAAATTGTGATCTCTTTTTGGGATAGGTGGTGGAAAAGAGTTTAATGACCTTGTAATAAGGAATTGTATGAAATTGTAACTTCCAGTGGAGATATTGTAGCCTGTTTGGTCTTCCAACATTCAGCAAAGCTGAACTTATATAGGATACTCCAGCAGTGACAAGGACAAGAGAAAGTATGAGGGGCTTGCATCAGAGACAAAAATGCCTTGAATTATTACAACTAAATTAAGTTGTCATTAATTAAGTAAAAAAGTAAATCTATCCCTGTACTAGGCCGTGAAGGCCCATAGGGTTGTGAGACGTTGAGGGTCCCACATTATCTAGACGATCGGCTCATAGATGGCGGTAAGGTTGTCAGCCTTATGCGCTGGTGGTGCTTTACTCCCCAGGAAAATTATTTAATTAATTCCTGGTACACCTGAGTAAACTGCAGGGCCTAGTGCGGCTGGAAGGATTAGGTCAACTGAAAAAATCCAATGACCTCATCGGGACTTGAACCCGCAACCTTATGGGTTGTAGCATAGCCCCTCAACCAACTACGCTACCGTGTGCCCCCAACTCTTATATATATCTAGCAGATATTCATAGTGTTCCACATTTCCTCCGAGCAAATGTCAAGATAGTGCATGTGATTAGGCCATTAGTGCTTCCTTTCGTATACCTTTTAATTCATCATTCGTTAGGCGTCCTGTCATTCGACATGGTATTGTCTTAGTTATTGTCATTTCATTGAATAAACCATAAATAATTTAAAACATACAAAAAAATCTTCATAAAGTGCCATTAAGTATTTTANCTTTCCATATCTTTTGTCAGAATGCTTCCAACATCATGTTTTTTTCTGTCCAGTTCTACAGTGAATTTACCACTACGTTATTATTACATATTGAATGTTATATGCTTACTTTTTTGACATCTTGTACTTCCTGTATGGAAACAGAAGATGTCAGGAGTTTCACATATTCCCAGATCATTGTGACATTAAAATAAGAAATGTGAACAGCTACAGTGTATGCAGTGTATACTCAGTTTACAGCTTTTATTGCTCATCCTGAAGATGTCTCTGTGACATAAATTAGGACTAAAGTGTAGGCATAGCTGTCCCAGTGCTTAATTAAGCACCACACCATCAAGACATGGAAGAATAGAGCTATAGCTCCACCAAGTCTTAACCTTGACATTAGATGGAGGTGAGTGTTCAGGTTCATGCCCTGGCCACTTTACCCTTTCAGAAAGTCTCCTGTACTCATTGGATAGGAGACGGGGTGGGCCCTATAAATGGTGTGGGCACTATGGAGAAACAATCTCTTGCCCTTGCTGGGAATCAGAACCCAGTTCCCCAGTTTTACAGTCCATAGCATAGTTGCTATACCGACAGAACTGTCCCGGTTTCCTGTGACCAAGTTGTTTAAAAAAACAGTTGCTTGTATGTTTATTTAATGGTATATATTGTAGGTGATAATGAATCAGGAAAGACAACTTTAATAGCCAAACTTCAAGGTGTGGAGGATCCAAAGAAAGGTTCCGGATTGGAGTATGCTTACATAGATGTCCGTGATGAGTACAGAGATGGTAAGTGATTTTGAAGTACCTTTAAAAACTCAGTAGGAAGTTAACTTACTTTTAGAAGTTTTGAAGTTTTCACATGGTAGTTATTGTTCACATTGTAATCTTCTGGGTTGTGTGACACCATGTAGTTTTGTTGGTGGCTGCAGAGAAACATGCTATCTTCATTGTCATATTTGAAGTGCGTAGGGTGAAGAATTGGTTCAGTTGTAACGCATGTTGCAAGGAAGGTGATCACTCTGAAATGTGAGTATTCTCAGACAAGACTACACAGTGTCACAACCCAGAAGTCCATATTCTAAGTGGTTTACTTGTTGAAAGTTTAATCTCACATCCTCTGAAGTGAGGTATTTAGCAGAAAAACAGAGGAATTCAGAAAGAACCTGACAGTCATATCATGTCTGTACCCAAGTTGTGAACCTAATCTGGATGAAATTATTTTTTGTCATGCAGTTTTGATTTTAATTTGGATTGTTTTATTGATTTTAAGGATTTAAATCTTTTGATCCTAGGTGACTGAAACTCATTCAGTGTGTTTTATTTTCAGATCATACTCGACTCAGTGTCTGGGTCTTGGATGGTGACCCCTCTCATGCACATCTCTTGCGATTTGCACTGTCAGAGGAGAGTTTTCCACACACATTAGTTATGTTTGTAGTTGCCATGACAACCCCATGGGGTATTTTAGACCAATTGCAAACTTGGGCTACCGTCTTGCAGGACCATATCGACAGGTTGAAAATTGACATAGATGACTTACAGGAAGCCAGGCACAAATGTGAGATTTATTTATTTTCTTTATTATCCTAATGTCTTTGAATGTCCCTTTGCTTGAAGCCAGTAGAACAGTTGAGTTTGCGTAGAAAAAGAAGTTGTTAATAATATTCAACTCTTTTATTGACCGTCACAACACAACAAACAGAAACAATCAAGGTTAGCGCCCAGCTATGGTTTCGCTACATGTTTCAGCCACTAACAGCCATCATCAGGCAAACACATATTAACAAACATATACCATTGAACTGCAGTACATTAGGTTGGATACAATATTATTAATCATTTAAAATACTTTGCATAAAAATACAATAAGTCAGATTATACAAATACTAAAAGTTATTGTATAAAACAAGATAAAACTTAATTGATGTTATGCAACATTGAATCAGTCATTGATTTTTTTACGTTTCATCTGTTTCCATGGACAAATTGGAAGTTCAATATTTCTTTTGTATAAGAATGTATAGGAGGCCCATGATGTTGCAGATTATTTAATTGTATAGTCGGAGCCTCATCTTACGAAGAATTGTCCATACTGTATGGAAAGTAAACAATAATAATATTGCGTATATTGAATTTTTAGGTGTAAAGAAGTGGCAAGATTATGTGGAACCTGGAGATGAATTGGAACAAGGGTCTCCAATGAGAAGAACGTCCCGAAATCTAGATGAAGAAGGTGGAGATGTTCTGCCCTTAGGTGACGGTGTACTTACTAGGAATCTAGGATTAGACGTGGTTGTAGTTGTTACAAAGGTAAAGAGACATCTTTTACTAAATTCTGGTACACTATGTACATGAACTTTCTACACAAACTAGTATTGCTGGGTTAGTGGGCTCAGTCCATTGGAATGTGCCAGTGATTGAGATAAGCTTTTTGGACACAGATGACTAGGTACTTCACTGTTATTTACCTGAAGAAGGTAACAACTACAGATTATGGAACATTGCATCCAGTGTGGATTCTAAGGTATGGACAAAGTCCAGAAACCAAGAAATACAAATTGTAACATTCTGTTATCAGAACCCTTTAGAATCGGTTTGTAAACCAATATTTCATATACAGTAATACATTTAAAGTGAAAAGTTGATATATCAATGTAATATTAGGGTTGAAATTTATTATTGTAAACCATTTTTTTAGACGGACTATATGTCGACATTAGAGAAGGATTATGACTATCGTGATGAACATTTTGACTTCATGCAACAATGGATTCGCCGGTTCTGCCTTCAGTATGGAGCAGCATTATTCTATACATCGGCTAAAGAAGATAAGAACTGTGATCTACTGTACAAATACCTGACGTATCGCATTTATGGTTTTCCCTTCCGAACACCTGCGCTTGTTGTTGAGAAGGATGCTCTTCTTATGTAAGTAATAAAACATTTGCATATTGGCTCTTTCACAGATATCTCCCACTCTTTGTTACATTTCAGAATTCCAAGGGAACAAATTCCTTGTTTTCAACATTACAAGGAAACTGTGTATTGATTTTCTGATATTAGCTTAAGTTCTATTTCAAATGCATTTTGGTTGGCCTATAGTATTGATCTCTATCTACAGTAACAGGGAAGAGCCGTGTTCATAGTAAGCTAACAGTAGAATATTGTAGCATGTAGACCCGTTGCTAAGTAATGACTCTGTAATCACACACACAACAATAGAAGAGTTTGCTGAGGCTACATGATGAATGAGTTGGTGAGTGAGTGTGTTAGAGCAGTGTTCCGCAACCGGTGCGCCATCACAAGGTGAAAGGTGTGACGCGAACTTTTAGCTATTGTAAGAAATTAATTGTCGAATTGTATTCGTTTTATTTTATCCCAGTTACCGTGTTTCATATGCTTGTATTTTATTCTCAGCCACTGCACTGATTAAATAAGATGGTGCTTGTTTATTCTTTATTACATGCTGAGATTTTTTTATGTACAGTAATGTTGTATTCTAAGAAATTAAACGTAAATTATTTACTCACAGTTGTTATATCATAGTGTTCATTATTGATTTATTTTTATTTTCTCTCATCTACGCACCTTCTTTGATATGCTTGCTGCTTGTTCTGTGTATGTGCTTTTCAGTAAACTGCAGGGATTAGCATGGGTTTTCCTGTCTTTTATAATGCTGTTTTGGTATTTGCCCCTGTTTGTTAGAAGTTAGAGCTTCTTCAACTTTATGACTTTCTTCCTGTAATGATGCACCTGTCGATTGTTGGACTTCATTTAAAATTATAAATATTTCAAAAATAATTCGGTATTGTGTCACTTCTTCCGTTTGAAGAGTAGAGATCCCGCGTTTTACAATTGTTTCAGTTCTATCATAGCTGTGCTCTGAAGAAGTTCGCAAATTTTGGTTGCTAGTTAGAGAATTACAGATGGGTCATTTGAGATGTCCCCGACTGTATGGCCACTTGCTGACGGCAATAAAGTGGTGATGGACACAGTTAAAGAACATTTAGAAATGCTGCAGCATAAATTCAGTAAGTATTTTTGAGAGAGTGTACAAGATTTCAACTGGGTTCGTGATCCATTTATTGTGAATTCAGAACATCTTCCGATTAATGTACGAGAGGAACTCGTAGATTTAAAAGCAGACAGAACATTGAAACTGAAACTTCTTGAAGTGCCTTTGGATATGTTTTGGTTGGCAATAAGGAGTGGATACCTGGCTATCTCCGAGATGGCAGTTAATGTGTTATTGCCATTTTCAACTACATATTTGTGTGAACTTGGCTTCTCGATGTTGAGAGAAATTAAGACATCAAAGAGGGAGGGGCTCAGATACACTGATGAAGAAATGAGACTTGCGTTGTCAACGATTCCACCACGGATCAGTCGCCTGTGTGCAGCTACGCAAGCGCAAGTATCACATTGAAGGCATGAGTAGAATTACTGTATTTACTTTAATAGTAATAGAAGTGTATTGTCTACACTCTACAAGGAATTAAAAGTTCATTAATTGTTAATAAATGCATGAGTCAATTTCTGTTTAATGATAATAAAATAACAATATAATAATATTATAGTAATAAGCTGATCATGTTACATATTTATATTAATTGTCTGATATCATGCGTTTTTGACGGGAATAACATTTTGGTGTGCCATGTTCACTCATGGATACTTCATGGTGTGCCGCGAGTAGAAAAAGGTTGCGGAATACTGCGTTAGAGGCCTGCTGTCATTCAGTCCTTGTTAGCTGTTGCTGTTAGAGGCTGGTAGCTGAGGCACGGGGACATTTCAGAAACCCAGAGGAAGGGGAACATCCACTTTTGGAAGCCACTGCCGAGCAATAGGTGGTGAAAACACAGCAGACTGAGAAGACTTAGTACATGATATAGTGAACTGCAGAGTGCGTGAATTAGTGATAGTGCTATAGTTACTTGTATTTATGATCTGCATATCTTCCGTAAATCCAGTTACCAGTCCCATGACAGCTGATGTCATAAATGGGATTGGATTGATCGATTATTGGAGTGAAGTTTGCATAGTGTAGTTAAATTGCCACACTACAAAGATAGAATAAATACTTCCATGCCTACTGGCCAAAATGAATGCCATTTGAGAAAACATGGGCTCCAATCAGGAAAGGATGGAAACCAAAATAGGGGCTGAAATAAAAGCCATTTGAGTAAAGATGGGAGTCTAAGAAAAGTGGACCTTGGACAAGAAGAGATGAAAGCCCAGGTAGGTTCCCTAACCTCCTGGATCAGTGTTAACCTAGAAGGGGTGAAAGTTATGGTGCATGCCTGTCTAGAAAATATGCAGGCAAATCCAGAAGAAAAAGAGGCCATAGCACAAGTCCCTAATGAAGAGGCTGCAGTGGATACTATTAGGACAGGGATCTAGCTGTAGGGCACTGCTGACAGCTGAAGAAACAGACCCAGGGCTGGTCCCAACAGAAGTTCGCCGCTGCCCAGCGACAGTTGACCTGCTGTGCATTCCTTCACTGCGCAAGGGACCACTCAAGGACAGTGTTTATGTGGAACCCCTGAAGGACAGGCATTTGAGAAAATAGGTTGGGCATGTTCTAAACGCAACAGTGGCATAAGGGACCGAGGTCTGTGGAGCAGGAGACATTTTACAAGGCCCTCAAATCATTGGACTGGGAGTTGTGAAGCAAAGCAGTTAAGTCTTCTGTTGGGCTGTGGAAAATGAGTGACTGGACATTGAGGAGTTAGCCCCCACCCAACAGAAAAAGAGACTACGAGCAGCTTAAGAGCCAGAGATGTAGGAGCACCAGTCACTCTCAGAACTTTTGCCCACATCACTCAGAAAGGGAGGATGATGATGGTATACCTGGACAGGCTCACACATTATCAGGGAAGTGCTTGGAACAGGCAGCATGAAAGAGGGAGTAGTGGGAGCAGTTAGAGAGTATTACCATGAGAAGTGATCCATGGGGAAGAAAAGCAAGGCTGATCACAATGTTGCAAGCACAGTCCTTGGAAAAGAAGAAATGGCAGTATGCCCGTAGTCTGTTCAGGCCGAATAGTCTTTAAGAAGGGAGCAGTGCAGCACGTATACCTGTTGCTAAGTAACGACTCTGTAAACAGTGGCTGTTGCTAGGTAGTTGCCGCTTCATACACACACGCATCAATAAAGAGCTATTGGAAGGGGTGTTTTCTATGTGGTCCATGTCGAGGCTACAGGAGAAGTGAGTAGAGTGAAGTGAGTTCAGTTCAGTTAGTGGATTGGAGTGAGTTGATGAGTGACTGAGTGAGAGTGAATTAGAGTACTGGTGTGGTTCAGTCCTTGTGAGCTGTTGGTGTGAGAAGCTGTTAGCTGAGGCACAAGGGACAGTTTGAGAACCCAGAGGAAAGGGAATGTCTGCCGTTTGAAGCCATTATTGAGCAATGACTAAAGAAGACACAGCTGACTGAGAAGACTTAGTACATGCTGTAATGAACTGCAGAGTGTGTGCATTAGCATTAGTACAAACCCTATCTATAGTCACTCTGTCATGTGACAGTATATTAGGATATGATGTCTGTAAAAGTTATTACTGATTATGAAGTCAAACGTTCTGAGTCTCATGAATTTTACTGTTTTTAAACTGTTTTCCTGAAGGAAAGAAGGTAGGCTTATGAGACTGTGTGTCTGTTTACAACATATGAACCAGATGACTGATTTTCACAGAACTTGTATGGATGTTACATCAATGGAGGCTGGTCCCTCATACTTCTTAATTTTCTAGAGTCACTAATAACATGAAGGCTAAATGGCTTTGTGTGGCTGGAGTGTCACTGCTACTGCTTAATTGAGGGTGCTGGAATGATGTGTGGTTCTAAGTCTTCAAAAAATGTGCAGAGTTTATTAAGGTAGTTCTGTTTGCTGGGTTAGCCCACTCAGTATAGTGAATGACTGTATGAGAGGGAGGCCTTCTCGGCCCTTGCACTGCAACCTACAGCGGTCTATTGTGCTTACTCAGTATAGTGACTAGGCTACAGGCTGGACCACTGAGAAGTTTGGGTTCGATTCCTAGCATGGGAATAATGTTCAGATTGGATCTGGGGTAAACCCAGCCTCTTGTACAATGGGTACCAGGTGTTCTTTCCCTGAGGATAAATTGACAGGGGTGTGAAGCTGACCACTCACCTCCATATAGTGCTGAGATTGAGAATTGTGGAGTTGTACCTCCACTCTCCTGTACATCTTCATGGCGTGATGCTTAATTATGCCCTGGGATATCATTACCTTTTACTTTAGTTTTTGTTTACAGGTTGTAAGAAAACAAAATGGTGGCTGCATGGCATCTATAAGCTTTAGGTTTGATGGAGATAACTATTGAACCATTGGATATAGACATGTGAATTTTGATACAGAGACCCTAATGAAACCTAAACATTATATATGAAAAGTTATTTGTAAGCCAGGAATTACAAACATGATGAGGATGTGAAACTGAGTTTATACATCCCTCAAATTTAATGTTGAAAGGATCTGTACATAACTACAAGTAGATAAAGTAAAATAATGATAAGAGTACTAGGTCTGTAGGACTAGAAATGTATGTAATAGGAAAGTAAACCTTATACGTTTGCTTAGAACTCATTGTTGTTCAAAACCACTGTTTCCCAAATGGGGTACCTTGAAGTGAAAATACAAATCTGCAAGAAAATTCCATTACATCATAAAAAAAGTATTATTATTTTTAATCTACCTAAAGACAGTTCTCATTTTGGGTCTTTGGATTATAAATTTCGCTTTCAAAGGAAGGAATTAATGAACAAAAATGTGCTTTTTGCCTCAGAGGAAAAAGCTTTATCAAGATATGCAATTTGTCAGCTGATACCCATCAACCAGCACGTACTTGTGCAAAACTAGATTCTAAGATTGTTCCCAGACAAAATCAAGGCACAGAAACAGACTAAATGTGGCACCAGATTTGAGAAATAAATTTTACAATATCAAGCCAAAGATCAGAACTTGTGAGGGAAGGAAGAAAAACCACTCTCCGCACTGAAAATTGCAAGTATGTGGTACATTAGCTTCATTTTCATATACATGAAATGTGGTTTTTGTTTCGAAATATGTGCAGTTACATAATATATTTATCTCACATCTTGTTTAAAATGTATTTGTTGTTACTCTTTTGTGTGGTCTATTTTTTTTAGTGTCATATATGAGTGTTTTATCAGGGATTCCATAAAAATGTTTGAAGTCTTAAAGGGTTTATTATACTACACAGTCCATCAACAATGCAATAAATTGTTTGTTCTTACACTCTCACATTTGACACAACATGTTTCAGCCCTAAATGGCCATCTTCAGGTGTGTTACTACTGCTGCACTGCACTAATATTGTTGTGCCGCAAGGGGGTTATGGTAACATAACCCCTCGGGGTACTTGTGGATACCTCTTACTGGGTCAGGGGATATACAGTAACAACACATTGAATAACAACTGAAGTGATAAATGATATAATTAAGTATGAAGTCTCTATGTACATGTAGTGCACTACCTTAACCTACCCTAATACATGAAGTAATCCTAAAACTTCTACAATTCCTAAAGCCTCTACAATTGGTTTATGAAATATCTACTGTATCTTTACTCCATCTCGTATGACACCATTTAGAAAGAATTGGCAATTGTCCACAGTGACCTGAATATAGGCAAGTACTCACATGACCTCCACAGCCATAAGATGGCGCCGAACATTGGTCCCTTCATGTCTGGCACTAACACGGGTTCTAGGAGCAACTACTCCTCCCAAAAGTAAGGCCTTTCCCAGCCCTATGACTGGGGTTTTTATAGGGTTCCAGGGGGTCGCGCAAGTACTAGGTGGTTCAAATATGACCGGGACTGATTTGTGTGTAAACTGCACTGCGCAGCAGCTGTGCGACCTTGAGAGAGTGAAGCCACAACCTCCACCCTCCCTCCAGTTCAGGTTAGAACCTGTTCAGTCCTGTCTGGGAGTTGCTAGAGTGATGAGCGAACAGAAGGTACCGCAGAGCATGGAGCAACACATTGTGATCAAATTCCTTGGAGAAAACGTCCCGTCCGCTGAAATTCACCACAGTCTCCAACAACAGTATAGGGAAGAGTGTCTCTCATGACCCTGTGTGTTTGAGTGGTGTAAATGCTTCAGAGAGGGCAGAGAGCGGGTGGAGAATGAACCGCGTGATTGTCATCCGTGAGAATAGGCGCATCACTATCAAGGAAGTTGGAGTAATGCTGTCCATCAGTGTTGGTAGTGTAGAAGACATCGTGAAATACCACCTGCACTATCGCAAGGTGATTGCACGGTGGGTACAACGCACTTTGACGAACGTGAACAAAATGGTGCACATGCAAGCTGCCAGTTGTCTTCTACAGCAGTTTGAAGATGAAGGTGATGCATTTTTGAAGTCTGTAGTGACCACCAATGAAACGTGGGTGCACTACTTCATTCCGAGTCCCAGCAATCATCACGCAAGTGGCAGCGTACCAGTTCTCCCAAACCCAAGCAAGCGTGGAGGAGCCGTTCAGCAGGAAAAGTGATGGCAACGTTCTTCTGGGACTGGCAGGGGGTTATCCATGTAGACTTTCTGACAGATGCCAGAACAGTCATTGCAGCTTATTACTCAGACCTCCTGGCAACAGACATGAAGGAAAAGATCCGATCCAAGTGGAAGAGAGGTGGAAAGCGGGTAGCCTTCCTTCAAGACAATGCATGCCCCCATACAGCCAAAACAACAATGGAAACCCTTCGGAAATTGAAATGGAACCTTCTGACACATCTGCCGTACAGTCCTGATTTGGTCCCAAGTGATTTCTACCTGTTCAGAAGGCTCAAATCTGACTTGCAAGGCATGTGGTTTGTGGACAACGATGCTGTCATCCAGACTGTTCGGGAGTGGTTATGCCGCCAACCACAAGTCTTTTTTTTTTTAGGCATCAGGATGCTTCCAGAAAGTTGGAAAAAATGTGTTGACTCCGGAGGGGAGTACGTTGAAGACTGACATGTGCAAGTAAGTGTTTGGCAATTATTTTTTTTTTAAATCAGTCCCGGTCATATTTGAACCACCTTGTACTACCCACGGGGGATACACCCTGAAGTAGACTATTCTCATTGGGTGTTCATTTTCCTCTTATCAACTTGCCCATATAGTCATTCGGCTGGTGCGTGATTCTCTTATGCGCGCACTTTGGAATGGCTGACTGGCGGATACCGCACACACTCACTGATATGATCTCATACGGTTTCCGGTCAGTCATCCTGTTGACCATCCCATCCGTTCCACTATGTCTAGTATTAAAAGTGGTTGCCGCCTATACCGTGGCATAAAAATATTGTCCATTTGTCACGTATGTGACTGCACACTTCATAGTTTAAAATGTCATACTCGTAGTAAATTGATATGCGCTAAAATAGCACACCCTGTAGTTCACTTAATTTGTAAGGATACAGTTAAAAACAAGTGGGCGTCTCCCCTTGTGAGGTGCAATAAGAATTTTACAAAATTTAAATTAAATTATAATAGAAAGTTTTAATAATTTTATTGGTTTAAGTGAACTACAGGGTGTGCTATTTTAGTGGATACCAATGGACTATGATTATGATGGTTTAAACCAGTGGTGGGCAAACTACGGCCCGCGGGCCAGACGCGGCCTCCTGATAGGTTCTGTCTGGCCCGCGAAATGATTCCTAATCTGACGAATGAAAAGAAGAAGAATTAAGGAAAATAAATAATTCTGGATTATTTTCTTCTTCTTTCCTCCCTTTTATGTTTAGCCTAGTGACCACAGATTAATTTATTTACTTATCCACTATGGCATTGGAATGCTATGTTAACATTTGAGAGTGAGGCGGCACTGGCTGCTGGCATTTTTGTAGCAAAGAGTAAAACTGGCAACGGAGCCTCCTCGCTGTACCCCCTCCACATTACATCCACTGCAGCTGGCTACTAGCACCACATTCTTTTATTCAGACCCGGTCGCACTATTGTTGTAGGTGTTTGCTAGTTTTACTGTGCACATTCGTGAAACATTTCAGCCCTAAGATGTCAACTAAAAAACGTAAAGTTGATTCAGAGTGCCGTGTTTTCAAAGATGAATGGACTTGGAAGTACTTTTTCACAGCTTTTAAGGATAAACCACTGTGTCTTATCTGCAATTAAACCATAGCAGTCTACAAAGAATACAACATTTCCCGGCACTTCACATCTAAGCATAAGAATGCTAAAGATGAAAGGAAACAAAAAGCAGAAGACCTACGTAAAAAACTATCAGGTCAGCAAAGTATTTTTAAGAAAGTAAATAGTTCTCAGAAAGCAGCTACACATGCAGATTATGTTGTAGCATACAATATTGCTAAAAGTAACAAAGCTCTCTCTGATGGGGAGTTTGTTAAACACTGCATGCTCAGAGTTTGTGATATTTTATGTCCTGACAAGACAAAGGATTTTGAAACTGTAAGCTTATCTCGAAAAACAGTGACTTCTAGAATCGAAGTCATAGATAAAAACATATTATCACACTTGGAATCAAGGATTGGTCAATTTAAATTCTGCTCCATTACTATGGATGAAAGCACTGATATAAATGATACTGCACAGTTGCTATTATTTGTAAGAGGTGTTGACGAAAACTTCTCTATTACAAAGGAATTAGCATGCATGTGGTCGTTAAAGGGAACTACAACAGGGTCAGATATTTTTCATGAATTTCTGGAAGGCCTTTCAACTTTGAAAGTACCTATAACTAGCATATGCAGTATTACGATGAATGGAGCACAAAGTATGACAGGGACAAAATCTGGATTTGTTTGGATCTTTAATCAAGAATATCCCGAGAACAGTGTTGTATTTCTGCATTGCGTCATACATCAAGACGCCCTGTGTAAATCTGCCTTGGATATGAAACCTGTGCTTGATGTCGTTGTGAAGCTTGTTAATGCCATTCGATCTCGAGGGCTTACTCACAGACAATTTTGAGAGTTTC